AGAAAAATTCAAGAAGGTCGTGATGTGCAGGGGCGCAACAACGTTACAGTTTGACTGGGTGCTCCCATCATAATACTATAAATAACTAAAAAAAAAAGGTCACCAATGTATTGAATTTCTTATACTTGAAAAGATCGAGTTCGCCTGCTCATTTACGAGCTTGAACTATTTGAACCGAATTTTCAAGTTCGCTTATTATTTGAATCGACTGGAATTGACTGGGTGCCCAACCCAATTGAGTGGGTGCCCGGGCACCCGTGGACCCCCCCTTGTTGTGCCCCTGGTGATGTGTACATGGAACAATTAATGGCCGGACAACTTCCTCGTCTAAAATTAAAAAGATTTCGAGATGCCAACGACAGAATCTTGTGGAGGATTGTAATAACCGTAAGTGATTAAAATAACATTGAATATTTACGGTCAATAGCACGTAATTACCAATTTTATCAATAAACAATTATTGAAGGTTCAATTTTGTTTTATTTTTTTAGGCGGCGAAAGAGCTGGTCGCCAAACGACCGAAGGCGAAACAGCAGCTGCGGCGAAACGTCATATACCCCTCAAGAAGGCTTACGTTTAGTAATTCTGCAATACTAATACGTATATTTATGTAAAATTCTTGGCGATGACATTTTCAGAATCGACGCTATACAATTGAAGAAAGTATGCTGAATAAGTTCAAGTTTTTTAATATGCAAATGTTACGATTAGTAGGGAGACGGCTAGATTATGCGTACATTAGTATGTCTGTAACTAAAGTTACTTATAACAATTTTAAAGAATTCGAATTGTTAACGTGTTTTATTACACTTATCATCTAAATGTACATAGTTATTGAAGACATTCAGTCATGTAACAAAAAACGTTTACCTTAATATCGTAAATAACTGTTACAATACAATACAACCTTCAGATAATATGGGCATATGAGCTTGTTTAATAAACATAAACAGTATAAGGATAATAATACTTTAAATTGTGAAAAGTTGCTTCACTTAATTTTTAAGGTAGTTGGTCCATAAAATGTTTTTTTGATTTTTTTTAAATTTTGCTCGTTTATATAATATATAGAAAATATACTAGTTGTTGTGCTTATTGGGGTCAGTCCTTTTGGTTATTTTATTGCACGTTTATAATTGAAAGTAATATCCACAAAAAGAGCCTTATTAAAATCAAATTGATCGTTTTAAAGCTGCAAAATTTATGTTTTTTTATATATCCTATGTGTAGCTTGGAGAAAACCGCACGAATGATTGTAATCAAACTTCAACATATAGTCAACGTTCAAAAATTCGTCAAAAAAAAAGAATAATTACCAATCGGTCGTTTATTTTCGATGATATCAACAATTTAATCTTTCCTTTCTTATCTAGAGGCGTCTGCGTGATTATAACTAGACATCGGATTATATGCACTATCAAAATGCCAAAATATGCATGCAAATATGCACTAAAAAAGGGTGAAATATGCACAAAATATGCACAATAAAAAAACCATTTATAATTAGAATTTACATTNTATTATATTTTTTGTGACAATAAACAATAATATATTTTTTCAGGTTTTCTATGGCAAACTTGTGATGTTTGTCACTTAATATCAATTTATAGGCTGAAAATGACCTTTCGACGTCAATTGTCGTTACCAGACAGAACTTGAAATTTGGCGCCATTCCTGCAGAGACCTCTTCAGGAAGAGTTTGTCTGGTGCCGTTGATAAATGCGCCAATTTTCTTTATTTCGTCAAGACCGGGGTTTTTATACAAAACTGCATTTAATTTGCCACGAACCTTTTGCGATATTGAACTCGAAAGGGCGTTACTCTGTTCAATCATTTTTTCTAATATTTCCAAGGACTTCCACAAAGGAAAGTTTTTAGTTTTTCTACTGAACTACTGAAATAAGCACTGTTAATGAAAAAGTACCAAAATATGCAAAAACGCTATAAAATAGAATTATATGCATTTGCAAATGCATATAATCCGATATCTAATTATAACCAACGAATACTCCTGAGTATTAGCTTCTCCCTCTTTCTGTTTTATTAGATTCGCAGAAGCACATCACAGATCCAGAGTATACATATGTGTACACTTCATTATAAATTATATTCTGTAACGTAAATATTTTGTTTTATCTGTCGCTGGCCAGCAAAAAATGTAAAGTACTTATTTATTAATTTATATATCTGGATAGTCAAGATTATTAATACCATTCGAAACTAATGTATCGGGTCCGAATATCTAAGATCCGCTACTGGTACATGGTGATAAAAATACCAGGGCAGATACTTAAAATATTATTGTGTGAAATAAATTGCTTGTATGTTATATTCGTTTGTCAAATTAATAAAATTGTACTAGAAAACTCGTTATTATACATACTGTAAAACCCTTAACAATAGTAAGTGTGAATTTTTTCCCGGTTTATTAAAAATTTAAATTTACGAGTTAATTTTGTTATTAATATGAGTATATTTATAATATATAGAACACGAAGAGCATTTTAAATTTGAAGTTCTATTGCAAGCAGAACATGAGTAATATAATGTTATACAAAAATTTAATGTAAATTTAAAACGTTTACTGCATGCACACACAGGTCGAACAACGTACTGCATAATGTGGAGCATTAATTGATGTTTATACTAACAATAAATACGAGACGTAAAACATGATAGCTCAGTAGCCAAAATCTAAACATCCTGCCGTTCGTATCCTTTTTATCCATTCCCTTATCATTATAAGAAATGGCGATTAACGATATCACTTAAGCATATATTTACTTGCATTTTTTGCATTCTGATGGTAAGGCCCTCTGGAACACCTAAACTTCCAAGTTTCATCAATAAACTTACGTGTTATTAAGATCTAAAAAGTGCTAAAATTAGTATTCACTCACTCATCAAACATGGACCTAGGCGGCTAAATTTTCAGCTGGAAGAGCCATTCGCAATAAAAATATTGTGAATTTCAAAGAGCCACAGATCTTTAATTCGACATTTACATTTTATTTCAATTTTTTATCGAATAAAGAAGTGGTAATTAAATAAAATATGATTTACTGCGAACGGCGAACCTTGCATTTCTATAAAAAGTTTTGGCAAATCCGACATATAACAGGCGGGCTGAAAAGTTCGTAGGCTAACATAGAAAAAAATACTTTTTTTGATAGAATTTGAATGTATTATTCAATATAGTTCCCTTCGAGGTCGATACAACGATTAGAGCGATACAATTTTTCGAAAATACGATTTATCTTTAGCCTCAAAATAAGCTTCAGTTTCGGCGATTACCTCTTCATCGGCGCGAAATTTCTGTCCAGCGAGCATCTTCTTGAGGTCTGTGAACAGAAAAAGGTCGCTGGGGGGCAGATCTGAAGAATACGGTGGATACGGAAGAATTCGAAGCCCAATTCATGGAAAGTTCTTTCACTAAAATTGCTGTAACTCAGATACAAATAGTCCAACAGCTGTCAAATTTATAAACATGTCTTTTGAAGGTTAGGGCTAACTAGAAATCATATGGATTTGATATTAGTAGAGCCATATATGGGTCAGCCTACGAACTTTTCAGCCCGCCCTTGTAACTACTACTTTTTAGTTTAACGATAAGACTTGACTCTGAATTTTGATTACTTAGTTATTTGGCTTCTTATTAGTTTGTTCTTGATTAAGTTCATAGAAGAGAAAATTTGCTAACAAGAATTAAGACCTAAAGATCGTCAGCACACCAAAAGCCATTTTTTGTATTTGGTCATAACATTCCGGAAGAGTGAGCTGTCCACTTATATTGCGATATTAAAAGACAATTCTGCCTTTCCAACATTTCTAAGCTACTGCTCACGAACAGACTCGTATTTCGAACTCCACAAATCTTTGCTTTTTAACTAGACAGTGGCAACAGTGCACATTTTATCTTTCCTAGTAGCGTACGATGGTGGGAGGGGGTATCACATGTACTCACATGGCCTGCAGTCTCTCGTTTTAGACATACGCGCGTGCCTTGTGTCCGTCCGTTCCGCTTAGCTTTTAATTTTATTGAAGGGAACTTAAAAAGCCGCAATTGTCTCTTGAAGGAGCTGCGATATATCGATCCCTGATCTAGACCAAGGCAATAGCCAACAACCTCGAACGTCGTTTGCATCGAAATCCTTTGCACATTTATGTTTTTGTTAAGTTCATATCCAGTTTAAAAACGATGCAGTTCTTGAAACAAAACATGTGATGGGTAGGAGGTATCTTGCAGGGATGTTATAGATATTCATTTTCCGATATGGTTATGGATACGGATGTATAAATAATATTATACCGGTGTTTCAGTTACAGATACTCGATTTTTAAGGAACTGTAGGTAAAAGAAAAATACCAATAGGTAATAATTTGACTTTATTTCTAGGTTGTCATCTTGTGCTATAATTACAGAAAAGACAATTAACCTCAAATTAATTCGGAAAAATTGTAGCTGCTGTCACACCCTCGCCGTGAACCAAACCCGGGTCCCTGCCTTTACGCACTATTCTACCACTAAATTACAAGAGGTGACAGTAGCAACAACGACAAAATGTACCTGACTTTCGGTTACAGAATCGTAGAACGAATGTATAATCGGTATTAACAATGAGACATTTTAGAACAATTTTTGTAAGATTAATTTCAATACATTAAATTGAACTCATTTTTGAATTAATTTCTATCTCTACAGATAACCTCAAATTAATTCAAAAATTAACCTTGTAAAAATTGTTTTAAAATTAGCCTTATAATTTAGAATCCGTCCCTATTCTAAATTATTCGAATCTTTTGTATCAGATTCGGTTACGATTTCAGATAGATTTTTTACGGTATCTAATATTTTATTAAAACCCTCAATACTTTACTAAATTTTGATGTCTATACAGTCTAAAGCCTTAAGACTCTAAATTCCATTCTGTTGCCCATCTTTCAGAGAAATATAGATCTTGCTCAATCGAAAGTTATAAACAAGTGTTTTTGCGAAGTGTATAATCGTTCGACTTGGATCTTAAAACAAAGAAAGAGAGCGTGACGCACAGTGTGGTGCTCCGTTAATGCCAAACGTAAAGGAAGACAGTTTAGTGTATATTTATGTAGGTCTGTTATCTCCTCCCATATGTCGACCTGAAGTGCACTCGATGATATATTTTCGGACCAGAAAAGTAAATCCATTCAAAACGAACGAAACGTTTAGTCGTTCGTTTAACACAGAAGTACCGAAGTACCTCTAAGTAAAAACATGAAGATCTACCTGCAAGTCAATCTCGTTCAAAGAAAGGTACCGTATTCCTGAAATAGTTATTATACTGAAACACTAAGAGGTCGTTGAACAAGTTCTACTGTATCTACATTCCCACCAAATTTACATTTATAATGTAGCCAGGAAAAATTAACATCAGAACAGTGTAGATAGTTTACAACCAATAGTATCCGTGTATCAATACAGTGCGCGCGTTCGTTTACGTAGGTATTTGTCTGTGTATAATCTACACAACAGAAAGATATAATGCAATTATGTGTTTGGTACATGATTAGATAAAAATGAAAGTTCCATGTTCCGTGAACATTTCTAAAGGCAACTTCGTGTATGTTATGCGTGTACCGCAATTGTGTTAATAGGTGATCGTGTCATAAAAGTTGTTTTATTTTTAACGTCCAGAAAAAGTGAAAGGATATACCTATGGAGAAAAAACAGGACATCGATACCCTAATGGGTTATTTAGGTTTGTATTTTTTTGTATTAGTACACATATCTTCGGTCAATTTATCATCTGGGTCAAATCATGTAGGTAAATTAAAAAAACAAAATAGTTTGGATTAGGAAGAAAATAGATTGAAGATGTAGAAAATAATATTAAATAAATCCTTGTTTATATTATACTAAGAACAATAAAAAAATAGAAAATTACTTAATTGTAAATTCCTGTAAATTTCCATTATGTGTTCGTAGTTCGTAGCATGTTAATGTCTTACTTTTTATTTTCTTTTCTTCTTCTTCTTCACGTATACACCACAAATATTATCCCATTTGGATTAAGTATCTATTCAAAAAACAAATGCTATTTTTTATAACCAGATTCTTTATTTGTCCTTGGTTTATGAATAATTATTCTGATACATATGTAAATACGAAACAAGTCATGTTACCTGAATACTTAAAATTAATTATAATTTTATTAGAATCATTTGTGGCATATTTAATAGGTACGTAAAATACTTTGTTACAATTAATTAAGTCCATCGAAGATTAATCAAATTTCTGGAGACAAAACATGTAAGTAGCTTCATAAAAGAAAAAGAAATTTGAAGGTGAAGAAGCTCCCCGGGACTGAAGGAAATTTTATTCACCTAAACTTAACCTACATATTTTCTAATAAATGAGTAGTTTATATTTGTTGGTAAGGTTATGGTTGAGGAACTTCTTCTACCCGTTCTCATAGTGCAATTTTGTTTTTATTTTTGAAGTAAACTTTATTTTTTCATTTATTTGTTATTAGATATGTGACGTTTTGTTAGGTCGGGTTAGATAAGATTTTCTTTATTTCTTCTCGATGTAGGGAAGAGCGATAAATTTGATATTTGAAACCTATACTGCGGCATTGTCTATTACATATGAATATAATGCTATATAAAATCGATAGTAGGTAGATACTTACTGATATCCCCATTTACAAAAAACGTTAAATACTTGAAGTATTTAGATAAAGAAATAACGCAATAATTGCAAAATAACCTTCAGATTGTGTAGATTATGAGAAGAGTATACCAATGTGAAATGCATTAGTAACGGTAAAACTCAGGAAGCCTAGAGGTAGCAGTAAAAATTGCATGGTTGTATAATATATATACGGACCGATTCGTAAGAGCATCACTTAACATTAGTTGTGCTCATCCGATTTGATTTATAAACAAAAGATAATTCTTACCAAATTTAATACTCAGTCTCTTGTCGTGCAGCGAACTGACGTTTGCTATCCTCCATTAGTAATTATGCTTTTTAGACCCATTCACTTCAAGCTACATGTTGAGCTATTGCTCCTCAATATAAATTTAACGAAAATAAACAGTTACTCAGTTATTTAAGTTTCAATGTATTTTGTTATTTTAGTTTGGCTTTTTATTTTGTCCTTTACCTGTTGCTGTAGGTACATCCTAAACTCCTGTACCTGCGATTAGGTACGAATCTTGTATGTAGGGTGTCCCAGTTATAATAATTAATATTTATACTACAGATTCTTACGGACATTTGGAACATAAAATGTTATAACACTTTTGAGTTTTGAAGCAAAATAAAAAATTATAAAATTATAACAATTTTGATGCCGGCCCTTAAAAATTGCAAAACAATTCACCTTCAGTAGGTCGGAATCAACTGCTTTTTGGGGTATATCTATTGTTTATGTTTGGTATTAAGGTACGGATCAGCCGAAGAAAATGCACTCACGTTAAGGTCCATTAGATGACTGAACATGTTAGAAAAACTACGTACCTATCACAATCGAAAATCCCATGATCGTAAACTGAAGTGGATTTAATGTAGCCCATGACGTCGACTATTATGTTATTTTATACAGAAAAGAAACTATAACGATTACGGAATACTTAGAAGTGGTTCACAAACGACCCTGGTCACCCAGCGTTTGGTAGAGGTTTGTAACATAACGTACAAGTGTACGAAAAGAACTGTATGTGTTATGGTTATAATAGTTGAGATAAGATGCACACCTACTTTGACCAATCGCATGTATTAAATTGCTCATTCTGGCGTTAGTTTTACCTGGCAGGGCTCATTAACTCCACGTGGAGTAATACAAGGATGTGTTCAAAAGGACCAATTCTGGTTATTTTGTTTTCATTAAATGTAAGAAGCTAAATATTGATATATAATTACACTGCTGGAAGTGACTGGAATAAATACACATAATGTCGTAGTTTCTAACATGTTGTTCAGTTTGCTTTGGATTGTTGTGGGATTTACTTGTTTGTTAATGTTAGTTTATTTATTTAGTGGTCATTTCATAAAAGTCTATTACAATAAGGACAATTAGTAGTGTGATAGTGCATTCTAGTAGGGTTCTTGTTCAACCATCAATTGGGGCTGAGTTACATTACCGATGCCTTTCGTATAATTCCAAATATTCCCGGTGTCAGGGCGAATGGTGTTGCATTGAAGCGAATGGCGGGCAATTTTAAAAGTTTTTATATAAGGTACGCTTTTCTTTTTCACTTTTACTTTTTTTTTACAAGGTGGAAGTGTATTCGGCCTTCCCGGTAGGTACTTGTTACATCCACACTAGATCAGCTGAGCGACGTTAGTCACCTAGATCCAGGTCCGTAATGAAACAAATTGTACGTTCAAATTTACAAAGACGATTTGCGAGCTCAATTGTCACTGGATTGAAAAATTGTATAACACTTTTTTGTTGTATTTTGTGTCAGGAAGCCGTGATTGTGTTTTAATTGTTATAAATAGGACACCCTGTATAAGGGCTTCTCCAATACAATGAGCATGAATCTGGCCATGAAAATGCCCACAAGTGCCTCATATAACCCCGGACATCCTCAAATGACGTTAATATTTTTTTGTATTTGTTTTTGATGCAGTTATACAGGGTATTTCTGAAATAGGTGGCAATCTTTGGAGGATGTTACTAGGTGTAATAGGGAAGCTCATGGTGAATACATCATCGGTTAAGGAAAAAATTTGTAAACAATCTACAAGTTACAATCCGAACCCCGTCCTGGACATTTTTTGGCAGTATGGGTGTAGCGCAAAAAAATCTTTGAGGACAAATGATGACTGAGTAGCTACAGATTGAAAGAATGCTGCTAGTCCAACCCCTAAAATAAAGATAAACAACTCACTTCTCGCTTGTCGGCGAATTATTGATTCCGGTAACACCACTAAATATACAAACACATACGTGCCCCCTAAAAAATTATCGACACTAAGACCGTGTGGTAGAAGAAAGGCATCAATGCGTCTACCAAAATTATTTGTCACTCGCAGGTACTTGGCGAATTTTAGTTGTAGCGATCATCACACGGTCCTACACTTCACTAGCATTGTGCGCTGACGTTCGATACTTACGATGTTTTATACCCTATACAAGTATGTCTTGTGGTGTTAACTCCGGACTACCAAGAATGTAAATAACACCTAATGGGAAAAATTGGCGCTCCAAACACTTTTGTATCATAAATCCACCCTCAGCTGAAAATCAGTTTCCTGCGAGGTTTGCACTCGCTGCAAATGATAAGGATGTAGCAGTTGTTTCTTTAACATTCGCCACAGTGCAGCAAGGAAGAAACCAAAGTTCCGAGCTATTTCACATGTAGTACTTTAGGGGTTGTGGCAGCGACTTTGACTAACTAGTTACATACAAGCCCACAACGTTAAAATAATAAAGACTACTACAGACTGGCTGTAACACAAACATCGTCAATCACCCGTAATCTTGTCAAACAATGTATGAGTACAAAAATACAAAAGTACGTTTTCCCGGCTGTTTATACTCGACTGCTACTGGTCGAGAGTCGATTGTGTCATGTCATTAGCTATACAATGTAAAAATTATTATGAATCGAAACGGTAATTTTTTGTTTAAATTCCAAGCAGATCAGAAACTTGAAAATTGAATTATATTAAATCAGCAAATATTGTATAAATTCAGATGAACTGGGAAGATGAGCTCCTAAAAGTTCCATCCATGAAAAACTTAATCCACCTAACGCTTGCTTGTCATTCTGACTTGCAAATATAATATGCGATTTTCTTCACATTTTCTGCCAACAAAAATGATGCACCATTGCTTGTAAGTAGTAAATCTTCTGATAGTTCGATTTCTTCTCGAGATAAACAATTTTTAGAAACACTTCTTGTATTAAGAAACTGGGGCAATTTTGTTACGATATTAATTTTAATTATTCAAATACAATCCTGCCTATTTAAGAGCTCAGATAGTAAACAACAGATATATTGCAGTATGGTAGCCGTTAGAGGGTGTAATCCTAATGGTATGGTCCAGAAGGAAGTCTCAAATAATTTGAAAAATACTAGTGTCTATACGAAAGATTGTCCTTACATAATCGGTTCCAATTTATCCAATCTTCTAGCATGTTAAACATTTTCAACCGTATAATCCACAATGCTAAAATGTATAGATCGCAAAATAACGAGTTTTGTTCTCTACAGTCGAGCTGAGTAAAAAAGTTTGTTGATATTGAAGTCTAAAAGTAGACTGAGTCCAAATAAATGGTTTTTCTAACAATTGTGCTACTAATACTTTAATTAATTAGTTCTAAGCGGTATTGAATCTAAATACGCCACTAATCCGAGGCATGTAGCTTTGGGAAGTACATCCATTTCATGCGAATTATCGTTTACAATGTTGTATTTACTGTTAATCATATTGGTTCAGCAAAACGTTGGAGTCTAAACAACTTTATTAAAATATTTAGTTGTTAGTTCGTTACTTCATGCTGTTTGTCGTTTTGCGTTGTGTTTGTTATAAGGGTTCATAAAATAAGACTGATTGTGAGAAAATTTACCTATATGGTAACATGGATGAATTAGTTGAATGATGTGGAAGAACGAAATAAAGTTGGACTATTCTGCTTTGCTGCAACGGCGAACAAAACCATACAACATGTCATTCCGTATTCAGTGATCTCCTTTGGTGCATAGGAAGGTAAGAAGCCGCACATCCTAGTTTATAATAAT